AAGATACCTACTAACACAAGGACATCCAGCCAGTCCATCCTAGAGGAGATCGGTCCTGGGTGTTCATCGGAAGGACTGATGCTGAAGCTGAAACTCTAATACTTTGGCCACCTGATGCAAAGAGCTGACTCATTTGAAAAGACCCTGATACCGGGAAAGATTGAAGGCAGGAGGNCCTGACCCTGGGCTCAAACCAGAGTCTCCCGCATTGCAGGTGGATTCTCTACCACTGAGCCACCTGGGAAACCAATGTAATCTCCTGCTGAAACCAATATCAATAGATGGTGTTCTCAAAAGACAGTATGTGAGGGACTTCCCCAGTGGTCCAGTGGTTAAGACTCTGCACTTCCACTGCAAGGGGTGGCACAGATCCAATCCCTGGTCGGAGACATAAGGTCCTGCATGTTTCTGCCTCATGTTTTGAGCGGTCAAAAACAAAGACAGCATGTGAACAGAAATTACTGCATATAGTAAGTCATGTAACATACTATATATGCCCTAGGATACTATAGACATGTGTTTGTTTGTTTTTTTTCTTTGAATTTTAAAAAAATTTTTATTGGACTATAGTTGATTTACAACATTGTGTTGGTTTCAGGTTACAACAAAATGAATCAGCTGTAAGTATACATACATCCATGCTTTTTTAGATTCTTTTCCCATGAAGGCCATTACAGAGGCTGTTAGACATTTAAAGGAATCCTCTACTGAATTATTACACATTATATTTGTGTGATTATATTATATATATTATTTATTATATTATATATTATAATGTATAATTATATATTATAATATAAATATTATGTATTATGTTGTGTGATTATATATGTATTTTTATTTTTATAGTATATTTTATTATACATGTGTGTGTGTTAGTTGCTTAGTTGTGTCTAACTGCGATCCCATGGACTGTAGCCCATCAGGTTCCTCTGGTGGGCTATATATATATATATATTAATATATAATATACTATATGTTATATTACATAATAGTTTATATAGAAAAGAATCATTTTTGCAAATGAAAACATCATGCTCTCACTTATGTGATTTGTACAAGTCCCTGTGTTGTGGGGGTATGTAGTTTGTTTTGCCTGAAAATTGGACACATCTGTGAGAAAATGATTGTTAAGTCACCTCTCTCAAGCACCTCAAATGGCACTGGCATTTGATAAAAGAATTTTGATGTTTACCAAGAGTTCTATTTATTATGTATTCAGAGACCCTGCTATTAGTCTGATCCTTCTAGTTCTTTATGGTTTGGGTTGATAGCACATCAATTCAGTCTTTCTAGCCCAGAAAGGAATGAATTCTATGTGGACTAAGGGCCTTGAACATGCTTTACTGAGTGTCTGCATCAAGAAAGTACACTTTGTTTTTGTGAAAACACATAGAAACTCAAACCTCAAAGCCTTGTAAAATAGTGGAGTAATTCAACTGATGCCTTGAGCTTGGCCCTGGAGGACTAGTAGTCATGAAGTGGAGCCACAGGTGAAGGGTTTCCTGTGGGTCCAGCCCTGCGCCAAGAAACATGCAAAGAGAAGGCGCAGAACCCCAGGTTCCTGAGTTTGGAGGTGGCAACTGGATGTCTTCCGGTCCCGTATTCCAGCTTATGTTTCCTGTCGCAGTCCTGAGGAGGGGCTATTTGGGCAGGATGTAAGAGGTGGGGTTCGAATCTGGAGTTGGTCAATCATTCTGTGGCCCTAACACTGGGTACCACCCAACCTCTCAGGGTGTCAATTTCCTCATCTGAAAAAGGGGCCCATCCATGTCTATTACAATGGATAGAAAGAGCTCAGATAGTCCTTGAACTTGGAAAGTGATCCAGCCACCAATACCTTCAAGAAAGCAATCTCCAGCTCTGATTTCTCTCTCAAGTTACAGCCAGACGTTGAATGAAAGATCCAACGCGTCATTATCTGAGATGCCTTGAATTCTGGGCTTCTCTGCTCCAGCATCCATGCTGCAGTAGCATTGCACTTCCCAGAAGGGTGCTGAGGAGGGCGAGGCTCTACCATAGGACGCCGTGGCTCCGCCCGGGGGAGCTCGGAGGGTCAATGATTACCAGCATAGGCTTGGGTTCCGCCGAGCACAAGAGCTGCATTAATGGGGCGGCACGCCTGCACGCCAGCCAGCCTCCCACGTCCAAGAACTTTCTGGGAAAGCCCTGGAGGCAGAAGGACACAGAGCGAGCAGCCGGCTGCTCTCTGCCCTGGAACCACCCTTGCGGGGCCCCTGCTGAATTCCTCTCTTTGGGGCTCTTCTTGTCACGGGCAGGGCCCATCCCAGGAGACCCTCTCAGAGTGGGGATGAGGTTACAGAGACCTCCCACCTGCCTCCTCACAGACTGGCGGGAGACTCTGGCAGCTGTCTTGAGCTGCTCTTAACTAGAGTCTGCCACCGAAACAAGATGGTGAGTGAGAGATGAAAGAGAGCATCTCCCAGACTCAGAGCCAGGCCAGGGCAGGCAGACCCGAGACCCGCTCCGCAGAGGGTCAGGAGCTCTCACGGCGCTGCTGACGCATGCCCCCTCGGTCCTTTCTTGTTTTTTTACTCAGTGGTGTGTATAATGTCCTGCAAAAGGTGAAGTGAAATTCCACCTTACTTCCTCTTATTTGCCCTTCTAGCATAATCAAACCCAATCACAAGAAGCTTTTCCATCTCATAAATGGTACTTTACCGCTCTGAGCTGCAACTTTTCCTAATAAATCGGTGATTATAACACTTATCTGTTGCCCAGGGGATTCACTGGAAAATACACACGTCCACACAAAAACCGCTCCATGAATGTTGGTAAGGCATTGTTCGTCTCAGCCAGAAAGTTAAACACAAATGTCCATCTACTGGTGAATGAATAAATAAATGAAGTTTGTCCATACAATGAAATATTGAAAAGTGAAAGTGAAAGTCACTCAGTCATATCTTTGTGACCCTATGGACTGTAGCCTGCCAGGTTCCTCTGTCCATTGAATTTTCCTGGCCATAATACTGGAATGGGTAGCTGTTCACTTCTCCAGGGGATCTTCCCAACCCAGGGGTCAAACCCAGGTCTCCCACATTACAGACAGAATTTTTACCATCTGAGCCATCAGGGAAGCCCCCAATGAAATATTATTCAACCATAAAAAAGAGGATGAAGTACTGATACATATTACAATGTGGAAAAACCTTGAAAGCATTGTGCTAAGTGAAAGAAGTCAGATATAGTATTATTCCCTTTGTACAAATGTCTAGAATAGACAAATCTAGACACAGAGATAGTTAGATTGGTAGCTCCCAGTAGGGGTGGGGGAAGGGAAATGTAGAGTGACTGCTAATGGGTACCCTGTTCCTTTTTGAGGCGATGAAACGGTTCTAATATTGTTGGTGGTGATGGTTGCCCAACTTTGTGACTATACCAAAAACCCACTGTTGTAGCTTTAGATGGATGGATTGCATGATATGGGAATTATATTGTATTGTATTGTATTGTATTGCTCAGCTTCCAAGGTGGTAAAGAACCTGCCTGCCAATGCAGGAGATGTAAGAGACGTGGGTTCAATCCCTTGGTCAGTAAGATCTCCTGGAGGAGGGCATGGCTACCTACTCCAGTTTTCTTGCCTGAAGAATCCCATGGACAGAGGAGCCTGGTGGTCTACAGTCCATATGGTTGTAAAGAGACACAACTGAAGCAACTGAGCACACACCCATTCGTATTGTATTGTACTGTATTGTAACATATCCTATCATATCCTATTGTATTATTTCAATAGAATTTGTACAGGAAAAATCCACATCAAGGACCTCTTGCATGGCGGGGACTCAGCAAACTGTCTGCCATCTGCGTCCCGTCTCTCCATTTCTTAATCCCATTCCTCCCTCCTCCAGCACCAGACTGAAGCACCCCCTGGGCCCTTATGGGGTCCTCAGCTGAACTTGGCCCCTTCCTCCTACAGCAAGTGGCCATGGTGATTCTGGAGGTACCACACCCAAAATATTTCCTCAGTCACAAGAGCCTGGAGGCACAGAAAGATGCTTCTGCAGATCCTCCCCCTCAGCACAGGCGCTGGCAGCAAAAGGAGGGACTACGCCTCTCCCAGCATCTGTGGGACAAATCCTCGGCCCCTGCCTCCCGGCCGGTGGTGACCGTTGGAACAGCCGAGGTACAGTGAGATCCCGCCCCACCGTCCACCTTCGCCTGGGCTCCCCGCACCATGACCCTGAGCTGGCAGTTCAGTCTGAAGCCCAGTGTCGGCTCTGACCACTCTTCTGAACAGCTCCCAGGGCTGGAAGTCCAGCCAAGGGCTTGGCTTGGAAGCCGGGTCTGCTGTCCCCGAAGCATGGCAGGTGCATGGACTCATTCTATCTGATGGGATGCGCGGAACCTTGAACTTGTCAGGCTGAACCGAGGCCCACCATGCAGGCCACACCCGCCCACACTCCCTGACCCTCTCTCTCACACTCACAGGAGCTCAACTCCATTCCCTCCCTCTCTCCCCTTCTCTCGGTACCTTTTTAATCTTCATTGTTTTCTGGAATTTTTTTCCTGGCCCATGGTCCTTGCTCTGTTCCTGGAGTTAGTAACCTGAGCTATAAAATTCTTACTTAGACTGACCTCTCTGGAGACTCGGCAACCTCACAGATTAGCCAGAATCCCACGGAACCATATAAACCCCTCCTGGCCCCACATTCCCATAGTATTCCTTCCCTTGGCCCCGCACACACATGGAGGAGGGTGGAGAAGGGGGCCTGAAGCATGGATGGGGGGTCTTGGCTGCTTCCTTGGTGACATCTGTAGGGAGAGCCAAGTGGAGTCCAAATTCAGGGGGCCTCGCAAGGAAGAGATGGAACACGGGCCATTTCTGTCTCTACAGATCACAATGACCTGTTTGATGATGCACCATCAGGACCAAGCCTGGACCGTGATAAATAAAGGATGTTTTGAGGGCAAAGAAACTAAAGTACAACCCCTGTGCTGTGATGAATGCTAATTCCTAACCAAAAAGGGGGCCAGTCTACCTGGAGAGCACAGGCAGGTGTCCGCGACTCCTTGGGCTTGAAACACGAGGTCCAGAGTCAGACTTGAATTCCAGCTCTGCTGCTGACGGATGCCTGGATGCCTGTCTGAGCCAACTGCCTGTGTTTTTACAGAGCAAATTTCCCAAGGGAATCGATTAAACCTGGAGAAAAACAGAACAGAAAATCACTGAGAAAAGTTTAGGAGCCATAAAGACCCTAGAGCTTACTGCGAGCTATGTTTGTTTCTTTCTTCCTTCCTTTTCTTCTTTTTTCTATCTTGCTTCTCTGTCCAGCCCTAAATTGCAGAGCCGAAGCCTCTGCTTTCTGGTTCACCTTTCCTGTCCATGCACATGGCTAATAGCTGTACCCTTTTTCATCAATGGGTTTTCACAACATCATTTTAGTTCTCGTCTGGTCCCCCTCACTTGGGTTCCCCTGCTCTGCCCCTGGGACCAGCCAGAAAGACGGCCACTAGGAATTGCGAAGAGATGGACCAGGGGCCTAGCACTGACTGGAATGCTGGCTCTTGGCACCTGGGGGGCTGTGGGTCTGTGAGGCCGTGGGGCCCAAGCTGTGGGTGCTGAGACTAAGAGCATCATTGCAGAAGACCAGTGGGTGGTGTTGGCAAAGCAAATGTGGGGATGAACAGGTGTCCCCGTGGTAGTGAAGGTCAGGCTGTAAGGTGATGTGGACTTGATTTAAAGCCTACTCCTTCCACTTGTGAACAGGATAAATGGCTTTGCTTCTCTGAACCAGAGTGTTCTCCATGAACGTGGAGTTAAGAACGCCCATTTCTCAGGCTGAGATAGGGCCCAGGGTAAGAACACCCCATAGTGGATCCAGCACGTGGAAACCTCAATGAGGTCAGCTTCCTTCCGTTCCTGGCAGAGATGAGGAGCCTCCTCGAAGAGACGGCCAGAGGTTGACTTGGCATTTGGGGAATAATTGGAACTCCCAGGTCTGGATTTGAGCAGGCGGCTGGCTCTCCTGCCAGACCCAAGGACGGACTCGGAAGGACCCCATGAGCTGCAAAGGAAATGCAGGGGCGGGCGTGTGGTGCCGCCTGGGGGAGATGCCGGCCGCGGGAAGCGTTCTTCTGCCTCTGCTAGCCCTGTCCTCTCTGGCTTTTCAAGAAGGCTCTCCCTCAGAATCTCTGGAAGGAGGAGGCAGTGGGCTCTGGGTTGCTTTAAGGGGTCTGTAAGGAGCATTTTTGTATACAAGAAACCCAAAGGGACAAGACTTTGTTTATTTGGTTGCTTGGGAAAAACAACAAAACTGGGGGGAAAGGAGTGAAGATCAAAAAGAAAAACATTGCCCATAAAACGATCAGATTAGATTAGACCACGGAGATCTAATTATGCCAGGCCAATTGAATTTCCTCTGAGGTTAGCGTGACCAGCCTTCCAGAAGCAGAGGCAGCTGGGGTGCAGGGCTGTGACTGACGCCTGGCATGTCCTTCCTCCGAACACTTAGCAGGGGGTCAGTCCTGTGACCCCCCAGGTGGGCATGTGAGTGCATCTCCACCGGGCAACTTGGGCTGAAATTTACTCCCAAAGAGTGTCTCTAGAATCCCCTTTTCTTTCTTAGCACCAGCTACAGCTTATTATATATTTATGTTGTTGAATTTGTGCCTTCCTCAGCTCTGTCAATGGCACAACCATAAAGGAAAACTTCATTCAACCTTGACTCTTCTCTGTCTCTCATCCCCACAGTCAATCCATCAGCAAGTCTTCTCTGCTCTTCCTACAAAATACATTCAGAACCTCTCTGCTCTCTGGGCTCCTTCTTCTCCAGTCCCACTGTAGTCCAAACCACCATCACTCTTGCTTTGACTACAGAAATAGCCTGCTGTCTCTCTCTCTCCTTACTCTTACAACTTTCCCCAGGTAGAGAAGAAAAAGATCAGAGAAGCCAAGTTATCAACCCAATTTCACAGTGCCTTGCTGGCGCTCAATCATTTCCATTGTATCTGACTTTTTGCCACCCCATGGATGGTAGATGGTCAGGTTCGTCAGTCCATGGGGTTCTCCTAGCAAGAATACTGGAGGGGGTTGCCATGCCCTCCTCCAGGGGATCCTCCCAACCCCGGGATCAAACCCATGTCTTCTGACTCTTCTGCATTGCAGGCGGATTCTTTAACAATGAGCCACAGAGGAAACCAGAGTTCACAGACCTAGAAACTAAGCATTCAGCTCACTGTAGCTTTCTCTGCTGTGATATGTGTCCACCATTGTCTTAATAATTGGAAGAAACTGATTAAAATGCATCTCTTTCAATGTGACTTTCCGTCGCACAGACAGAAAGCTGACGGTATATTCCCTAAAAGGTCTCCATTCCAGCCAGGCAGAGCTCCTCTCTAATGTGGTTGGAGGCAGACTGAAGGGTTTGACTTTGCTTTACAGAATGGGGGTGGGAAGGTTGAAATCAACCCAGAGGGAAAAGAACACATGTTTGTTGCATGTCTGCACATGCAAGAGCCTGAGGTGGGGGCTTGGCAGAAACTAGTCCATTCGATCTTCACAGTGACCTCATGAAATAGGTGTAATGGTTCCTATTTTATGGGGTGGGGGCACTGAGGTGTGGAGAGGTTAAACAGCTCAGGTGGCAGAGCTGAGATGGGAACCCAAGCCTTCCTGGATCCTCCTACCGGAAGTTCCATGAAGACAGTGAATTCTGATCTAAGGAGAAGCAGGAGAGCTTTGGGGAGAGACAGACCCCCCCTCTGTTTCCCTCTCTCTCACTCCTTCCTCGCTAGCTCTTTCTTGGCTTATTCATTCCTTGTTTTCCTTTGGTCAATAAATATTTACAGAGAGTCTATCACATGCCCAGCTCCAGGCTGGGAGTGGGGATAGAGCATGAACAAGATTGGTGTTCAGGGAGGTGGAGAGCGCAGGACAGATAACAAAAAGGAACTAAATAAACAGGGTCATTATAGATGGAGATAAGAGCTGAGAAAGCTGCGGCAACAAGGGGTGACTTTGACATTAGCAATAAGTAGAAGGCCACTGAAAGCCCAAGATGGTGGGGGTAGCAATGTCAAGAGGAGAGAGTGTAGGTTCTCCTCTAGGCTGGGGGTGCTGACCTCACCTGCTGCTTCCAGCCCAGGGTTTTGCTCGGAGACTTTTAGCATTTCAGGCAGAACTAGGAGACCTCGCCTACCTCTGCTCCAGGATGGGCACAAACCCAGCTGCAGTCTTCCCATTTGTCAAATGACAATCATAGCACACATACTTCCCGGGCCATTATACCAATGAAACGATGTGGTGTTTGGGAGCATTCAAGTGGATGAGTGACGAACTGTATGAGGGTTACAATCGTAGTAAGAGAGGGTTCAGTGAGACACAAGAAGAACGTTTTGACAGAAAGGATGATACGATGTGCATCAGGTTTCCAATGAAGAATCTTCTCCGAGTGGGCCATTTAAAATAAAAGCAATCAAATTAGCAGATGTAAGCTATTACATATAGACTGGATAAACAACAAGGCCTGACTGTATAGCACCATATATAGTATACTATATTCAATATCCTGGGACAAACTGTAGTGGAAAAGAATATTTAAAAAGAAATGTATGTATATATATATATTTCTTTTAAAATATTCTTATATATGTTGTTATTGTTTCATCGCTAAGTCATGTCTGACTCTTTGGGACCCCATGGACTGTAGCCTGCCAGGCTCCTCTGTCAGGAAGATCCCCTGGAGAAGGAAATGGCAACCCACTCCAGTAATATTGCCTGGGAAATCCCATGGACAGAGGAGCCCGGTGGGATATAGTCCATGGGGTACCAAACAGTCAGACACAGCTGAGTAACTGAGCACACACAACTATGTGTACACACACGCCTATGTGTACACACCTATATGTGTAACTGTATCACTTTGCTGTACAGTAGAAATTAACAAGACATTGTAAATCAACTATGTATTTCAATACATTTTAATAAAAATAATGCAGAATTTTTCAATGCAGAAACAGAAGAATTTTTCAATATAGACATGACTTGCAGGAAGAGGCAACATAAAGAACTCAGAAAGTCTCTTTGCTAGTAGTACATCAGGGATTCTAGAAGGTTCTATATGAACAACAGTGAAGGTATTGCCCACTGGACCAGGTGTTACACAGGACCCGTGGAGATGTGCCTGGGCCCCTCCCCACCCCACCCCAACCCACTCCACCTCGCCGGCCACAGCCCCACTGCCCAAGGTTACTCTCATAAACTCCAGGGCGGGGGAGTGGGGAGTGTCCACAGCACAGAGGCAAGACCAGCATCTTTTTGTGGGTGTCTTGCCTTCTCTACATCCCCCATCACAGCCGGGCCTGGAAATGGTTCAGCATCTGGTCGCTAGTCACCAGCAAAATATGCATGGCCTTTACAGTGTCTACATTTGGAAATTAGCCTGTCTGTGGTCTGGCTGTTGGCATCCCTGCAGTCCCCTCATTCACAGGGCTAAGCCGGCAAAGACAGCACCCACTGCACCGTCAACTCCCACCCAAGCTCTGTCCACAGTGAAGCAGGCGGCCAAGGGGATTACAGAGGCCTGCTTCCCAGAACAGCATCCCCTGAGAGCTGAGGAGGGGGACGATGGTCCAGGCAGGGGTGGGGTCGCCAGGACTGGCACCCTGGGGAGAAGCGTGCCAGAGCCTTTGGAACAGAGCAAGAGTAACAGCTACCTGATGCAAAGAGCAGGCTCACTGGAAAAGACCCTGATGCCGGGAAAGATTGAGGGCAGGAGGAGAAGGGGACGACAGAGGATGAAATGGCTGGATGGCATCACTGACTCAGTGGACATGAGTCTGAGGAAACTAACTTCAGGAGATAACTCCCTGCAGTGCATGGGGTTGCAGAGTAAGACACGACTGAGTGACTGAACAAGAACAACAAGGCAATGAGGGCCCGGAGAGGGGATAAAGCATCTCTGGGATCTCTAGGGCAGGAAGGAAGTTTTGAGGTGGCTCATTTATGGGGTAGACCCAGGCTGCCTGAAGTAAAACTTAGCTAGGGGAGGTGGTCAGAAGTGGTTGTCCCTCCCTGGTCCAGGCTTAAGCTTAGAAGCAGATACCTGCCCCTTCAGAACACCAGAGTGGGATTGTGGAGGATTCACCTAGTTGGTGGAAGAACGTGAGACCAAGAGTGCGGGGCTCATAACTGCTCCCTCC